CACTTCTTACTGACATACTCTTTCGATTTTCTGGCGCAGGTGAACGGCGGACACATGAAAATCAGGCTGGTATTAGATGTGATCAAGGTTGATTGACAATATTTTCACCATTCAACAAATTCTCTAACACAGGCTTTCCTACAGTAGGCCTACCATTATCACCTACCTTTATCTGACGCTTCCTTTCTTCGAATGATATGCCCGTGATCCCTGTGTTTGAACAGCCGGTGCAGCCCTAGTTAATCGCGGCAAGCGTCTCTCCTCTCTCTTTTCTTCTCAATTGTGTACTGGATACAGCCCTGTCCTTGTGTGAGAAGAACGGTATGTTCCCATATGAAATGTTGCCTGATTTGGGGTATCCAGAGGACATTGCATTGTTAAGTGAAGATCCACCTAAGTTTCAAGCTTCTCTGGATGATTTAAGTGGTAGTGTAGCCATGTCTGGCATGCTTTTTGCATCTTCAATGTATAAAATGTTTTTACAGNNNAGCTCCTAACTTCACCCTTACTGGGGAAACAACAGAGAAAGCAGACCAATCACCTTATTTAGACGCCTGTTGTGAGGTCTCACTCACATTTGGGAGTGGTATGGTTGGATTGCGCAAAGGCATTTGATTCGTGATTTCTTTCAACGGTCAAAAATGAACAAGATATCTTAGAGCGAATTGCTGTGCTCAAAAAGATTACCACAGACTGTTCCATTCATTATCCTGTGTGCTGCTGGGAATTTTGATGACGCTTTCTAAATGAGACTTCTTGTTATATGTATGTCAATTTATCCATATCCTAACTGTGGTTCGTCATAAACAATTCTCAGGCCAGCACTGGTCTTTTGGACGTAGAACACAGCGACATCTCACCTAGCGGACTCCTCAAGGATGAAGTTTCATGAAACATGCAGAGGGTTCGGTTGGCCTTTGCCTACTTGTTACACCTCTTGTGCTGCCGCGACATCTTGTAACGAGAAGGCCAGTTGGCTGGCAAAACGTTTATTGATTCAATCCAAAAACAACCGGTGTATGCGTTCAATTACATACAATCAATTCTTAGACACACGGCAGGATAATTCATACCCCATTCTGCTGGTCAGTCCCTGTTGGTTTTGGTCCGCACTTGACACGTACGTTGCCTCTTCTTCCGCGTGCCGTTCCGACTTGTTTGACCCGATTGTAGCGCGCGACACGTTAATCGACAGCTTCGACATTGTGGTATTCGGTGGATATCTTTCTGACTAGATGCGGATTGTCCGTCGGGCTGTAATTGTTGATTCGTTCGTTTCGAGTGGTAGTCGATATTGTCTCGCAAAGTACTTCCATCCTCCACGTCTGCGCATCTGGTTGGGTGGGCCCTATTCTTGATTCGTTCGCTAACCGGGGCCCTCTGTACCATTTTCAACCACAATCTGACCTTTTGTCAGGCGTCGAATGTGTACTGCAGTTGGCTCTACTGTATGGTACAGAGACATTTTCCTTTCGGGGGAAAAATAAAGCCAGACCACCGGTGTTCAAAGAGCCCTGTTTACACCGAATCGTACTATTTCGTTGAAACAACTGGTCATGCAACGACGTGTTCAGAAGCAGATTCTTTAGTAATCTTGGTTGCGCACTAACGCTTGATTTCCGTAGATTGTAGTAACTGTAGTGTGTAATGCTTTCCAAATCTGGTGGTGGGCAGAATAAGACCCGATGTCAGAATAGTACTATGAATAGGGCCCTCGGTCTTATAGGTTGCTGTGGTAATTCAGGCCTACGAGATGACGCCTACCCTGGAGCGGCGCGTTACAGTTTCCGGACACATGCAATCAATCGAATTTGAATGCTGACCTCAATGATACGCGTACGGCTTCCGACTACACGCCATAGGCGGATCGTGCCAGCCGATCCAAGACAGCGCAGACAGAAGCAAGATTATACAAGCAGTATTGCAATCCGATTGGTGGAAGCCTAGATAACCAATAATCTTCTTTTGTACATATTTAATCGCCTTCATTTCTTCCAATAAACGATCTTCGAACCACCATTCTTGTGGCCTTTTCCTCGCATCTCGTTCACGTGGGGTATTGCGAGCTCGTGCCATTGCGGTCCAGTGCTTCCGTAATCCAATCCGTGATACTTGATCCTTGATTCGTGTCCTATAATTCCTATTGCGTGGTTTGTGTTCCCAGTTCCGTGCGTAGTACTACGATTACTACTCCAACTCTTCGAGATAACGCCAACTAAGGGGCTATGCGTTACCATTTCAGGAGAACAAATCGGAGACCAACAGCCTGGATCAATCTAAAGCCATGCAGTTCAGCCAGGACTAATGCAATGAAGAGAACACGAACGGCGATTGGTGATGGCTGTGTAGTCAATGATATTTCTCTATACAAATTATTGAAACCCATTCATTTTCTTCCATAAACTATCCGAGAAATGTTAACACAGATGAGAAACAAGGTCGATGAGTTAAGGCTGTGCGTACCATAGATTGACTTCGTTATAAGTGACTACTCACAAGTAGTCAGCTGATCGATACGGTTATTCCAAAGTCCTACTCTCAAAAATGTGCTCACTGTAGTCATTATTTAATTCAATTGATTTCCTGCAATAAACTAACCGCTACCTCTGTGACCTTGTCCCTGAGTCTCATGGTCTGTAGTTTTTGGAAAACGATTATCAGTGTAATTCGGTTTCCTGATATCCGTCTATTTCCATTATTACAAGCCACTAAAACGGAATATGTGATGTTTAGAACCGACCTCCACTAGTTTAATAAATTAGATGTTTTTCTTTCACTGAAGTTAAAAAAATCACCAAATGGCTAACCATGTGGTTCCGGGAGTAGACAGGGTGTGAAACACGCTGCATATACTGCGTGCATTTGAGACTGCTGCCAGTGGAGTGATCATATTTTTGTTACTTCTGGCGAATGAAACGTTGTGACACTACCCCAGCGATATGGACTGTTCATCCTTCAACTGCTGTCCTGACGCGCAATCCTCACTTCTTCCAGTCAACCCTACACTCATTGATTTGCTTGACGTGAGTATCGTTACCCATAGAGCTCATCATTAGTGCATATCCATCGTCCCATCTTTCTTTGGATCTCCTGATTCATCTTTCACTCGATATGGACCTGAATAGAGTAATTGTAGTGATAAGTTAACTCACATTAATCTTTCTTTTCAACTGTTCATAATGAGAACACACATTAGGACCTTTGACGTATATTGCTGCATAAATTTGTCTATAATAGGATGCGAGATTTTTCTGAAGTTACTGTAAAAAATCTCGATTTTAAGTGAATCTGATTAAAAAATCCCAGCGAAGAAGCAGGTTAAATAAAAACTAAAAAACTTACAACTTGAAGTCAATAATTGGTGCATTCCTGACAGTCCAATCGCTATCGATGTGGTGCGCGCGTTAGTATTCTAAAATTCAGGCAAACTGAGCACATGAGCCTGCGACCACTGAGTTAGTTAGGATGCCCTTGTTCCGATAAGCTATATGGAAGTTACATCATGACGTGTGCTAAGTGCCGCCCAATCGGGTTACACGATTACCACAGATTCACGATTTCAAAGTGCAAAGCGCGGCTTGGAGACTGCGTTTGGTCATTCCCGCTCTGAAGCCTGATTTTCAAGAATATACTTCTTT